CCTTTCCCCACCTCCTCCCCTGTTGTCTACCATGTGCATCCCTGCATTTGATCTGGTCCCTTTCATATTACTTGGTCCTTACCTCAAGAATGAATACATCTTTTATATAGCTTACACATGCACTTTTGCCATGTACTTGTTTGATAATGGAAAATTATTCCAGCAAAGATGCCATGTGTTAGTAATTTGAACACATGCACATGTGCATACACATGGGTCATAATACTCAGGATGGGTTTTATTTTTAAGAAGAAAAATATACGGTCATTGATTTTATAAACCTATTGAATGTTTTATAGCTTAAGACACCATTTTAAAAATGTATGTCTCAAACATTTTTTTATTATTAAATACTTTTATTTGGGGCTCTTACATCTCATCACAATCCATACATCCATCCATTGTGTCCAGCACATTTGTACATATGCTTCCATCATCATCCTCAAAGCATTTTCTTTCTGCTTGAGCCCTTGATATCCACTCCCCATTTCTTCTCCCGCCTTGTCTCAAACATTTTAATACTTAGATAATTCTTTGAAATTCTGCAAGTCATTCTCTCTGAGGAATTTGTAAATATATTGCTGTTGCTTTTACAAGCTGTTGAGCTAATTCTGATTGACCGCCTGCTGAGGTCAGTGTAGAAGTACGTGCTCCATGGGGGTTCGTAGGCTGTGTGATTCATGGAAGTAGACCACCAGGCCTTTCCTTTCTCAGGGCCACTGGTGGCTTCGAACTGCCCACCTCTCAGCAGCCTAGTGCTTGGCCATTGTGTGGCCAGGGCTCTTTGGAGAAATCATTCCCATCTAATTAAGCTTGCAAATTACAATTTAGCAACTGTTTTCCAACTTTGATTATTTAAATTTAAATTTGGGTTTTATTTTGTTAATATGATTTGGGGCTGCAGCCAATTGAGGCTTTTAAATCATTATTGTAGTGTCAAATATCTGGAGCACTACTCAAAGGAAGAAAGTATAATGGGAAGATTGAATCCTAAATAACAGTTCTGCAAGCCTGTGGGGATTTTTTTTCCTCTTACAGACTTACTTTCATTTTTTTAAATCATGGATTTCGCCTTCATCCTCCCATTTATTTACTTTTTAAAAAAAGAATCTTCTCTAAAAATAAATAAATAAATGTTCTCTCCAGATCTTGTTACATGACTAATTTCTAAGCACGAGAAAGCTCAGCCACCTGGAAAGCATTTTATTAGAAACTGGTGAGAAAACATTGGATCCGAAGAGGAAATACCTTAATGAAATGTGAAACATATGAATCCATCATTACTCCAACTCTATGGTGCTTTTTAAAATATTATGTAGATTGGCAACAGATGGGTTCAAAATTAAAATTTACTTTTGTGTGCCTCTGTGATGCTGCTGCGGAGCCCTGGTGGCCTAGTGGTTATGCATTTGTCTGTGATCTGCAGGGTCAGCAATTCAATACCACCAACCGCCCCTCAGGAGAAAGATGGTACTTTCATCTCCCTTAAAGAGTTCCATTCTCAGAAACTCCTAGGAGCAGTTTCACTCTGACCAATACGGTTCCTGCGAGTCGGCATCGAATCTAGGCAGTGAGTTTGGCTTGGTGCTGCTGTTGCTATTAGCACCTTTACCCAAATTCCTGCTGTGAGTCTTCTGTTGCTAAGAACTGTGTGACTGCCCCAGCAGTCAGTAGTGGCCCTTTGCTTCCCGGAAGCAGCAGGCAAGGGAGATGCTAGCGTCCGGCCCTCTGGGTGTCCATGAGTCCCAGTGAGATTCTCCTTCATTCACACATTGGAAGAGGCTCTTGTCAACCCAAGTGTCCGTCCTCAGATAAATGCATGAAAAGGGGGCCCATCCATACAACCGAATAGCCATAGAGATATTTATAAAGAGAAATGGAAGTCAGAGGTATGTGACAGCCTGAGACCAAAAACACTATGCTGAATGAAATGAATCGGACACAAAAGCACAAAAGCTTTCTGAACTCACTTCCTTGAAATAACTAGACTATGCAAATGCTTCCAAGTGGTCTTCAGGGGCCTTATGGCAGAGGCTGTAGGAGTTTTAGCTGCGTCCTCTCTCAGGTACTGTCACTTTGTGGCAATGGATAGCAGTGCTGGTAGCATAACCTGGTGATCAATGCTATTGAACTGTCACTAGGCACAATGGCATCCTTTTGTTTATATTTCACCATAGTGCAATTTAAGGGAGAGGGATGGAAAAGGAACTTATAAACACCCCAGAGACTTAATTTTAAAAAATCTGCCTATAAAGGGTATGATTGTTCATTAAATCAAAACTCTCTACTAACATTTTTATGACACTTGTCCTAATGCAAAAAAGAAAACACTTAAGAACCATAACATAGACCTCGGGTGCAATGTTTTTATTCAGCTTCTTTAGAAATAAATCACATCATCAAGTAGGCTCTGCCAATTCAGCAAAAAGAAGACATCACTGTCAGCTCTGTCACTGAACTTCTGCCTTTAGCATACTTAAGCCCTTTAAATGTATGGAAATGTCTGTCTCCTGCCTTCAAAAGAGAAACAACCCTTTCTACCCTAACACACACACGCACACACCCCATGCCCCCCCCGAAAAAAACCCCACGTACTCCAAACACACACCAATGCAGGAAATATCTTAGATTTTTCTTTTTTCTATTAGCTTTCTTCTAGAGAAAGATGAAATAGGTATACGGAGCCCTTCCCACTCCCAACACACCCTCAATTACTGCCGTATGTGGGATGTGAAAGCTATATAATCTTCCCATACTTCTGTTCCCATAAATGAACATAGCTTCCAAGTTCGAGACCCCAATTCAATGCTGATCTAGATAGAGTTGACCTGATCTGTTTAAAGAGGTTAAAAAGGAAAGAGTACGAATGCCATGGTTTTCTTAGTTAGATAAGGATGAACCAAGAAAAAGACCATTTAGAGAGAATGCATTTTTGTGCAGAGGGAAACCATGGTCCCCTATAAAACTGGGGAGAGGAAGAAACCCTTTTGCGGTTCAACAGGGATGCTATGATGACCCTTCTAATGCTGTGCTTTCTCTCAAGATTATTGAATTACAGTTTGAGAAGTTTGACGTCGAACGAGACAACTACTGCCGATATGACTACGTGGCTGTGTTTAACAGTGGAGAAGTCAACGATGCTAAAAGAATTGGGAAATATTGTGGCGATAGTCCTCCAGCGTAAGTAACCCCAAAGCAGGCCTGACTCTTGGCCACCCGACCCTTGTATTTCAAGAGTAGAATTCTGCTCCATAGAATTCTCAGATCCTTGTGAGTGGACCTTAAAAACAGTAGTTTTCTTCAGCAACCGTTCATGGAATTGAGAACCCTGCCGCTGACTAGCTATGTGACCTCAGGCAAGTTCCTTGACTTCACTTTGCTCTATTCTGGTGCACTAGCTGGGGGTGCTTTGGTGTAACATACGTATTTCACACTTCCATAGACAATACTAGTACAAGTGGCCATTGAAATTATCACAGCTTGCCTTCAAAGTTACCATTACCACCCAATGCCCTTTTCTCCTCTGTTGTTAAAAGACAGATCTCGTGTGTCCATTGATTTTATATGAATTCCTATGATGTTCTATAAACCTAGTGGAGCTAAAGCAAAGTATTTTTCAGTTTTTATTTATTTATGTCTATTAAGTGGATGTTAAATGCAGGGTAGCCACTGAGAAAAGTAGAAAGCGTTTCTAACTTCCGAAAGAGTGGAGGGAAACCATGGAATGAGAACAGGAGTTTAATCAAAAGAAAACAAGAATGGAGAAAAGGGAAAACACTAAAGGCAGGACAAAAGATGACAAAGAAAGCACAAAATAAGCTGAGAAATGTTGTTGTTTCCAGGCGCCATCGAGTCAACTGCGACCCATACTGACCCATGTCCAACCAAACGAAACCCTGCCCAGCCCTGCGCGACCCTCATAATTGCTTCTGTGCTGAGCCCATTGTTGTCGCCAGGCTGACACCCCATCCCCTTAGGAGCCTTCCTCTCTTTCTCTGCCCTTCAGCTTACCAAACGCGATCTCCTTCTCCAAGGTCTGGACTCCTGACAACATGCCCAAAGTACGTAAGATGACGTCTCCCCGCCCTTGCCTCTCAGGAGCACTCTGGCCTTACCTCTTCTGAGACAGTGTGGTTTGCCCTTTTAGCAGTCCTGGTACTTTCAAGATTCTTCTTCAGCCCCACCACTCAAACGCATCCGTTCTTCTTCAGTCTTCCTGATTCGAGCTCCAACTTGTACATCCATAGGAGGCCATTGAAAACACCCTGGCTTAGGTCAGGCGCACACCAGTCCTCAAAGTAACATCCTTGCTCTTAAATACTCTACAGAGGTCTTGTACAGCAGACTTACATAGTGGAACATGTCTTTTGGTTTCTTGACTGCTGCTTCCATAAGCATTGATTATGGACACAAGCAAGAAAAAATTCTTGACAACTTTAACTTTTTCTCTATCGATCATGATGTTACCTATTGGTCCAGTTGTGAGGATTTTGGTCTTCCTTATATTGAGTTGTAATGCATATTGAAGGCTGCAGTCGTGATCTTCATCAGCAAGTGCTTCACGTCCTCCTCACTTGGAGCAAGCAGGGTCAGGCCATCTGCATATTGCAGGGTGTTCATAAACGTTCCTCCAATCCTGATGTCACACTCTTCGTACAATCCGGCTTCTCTGACTATTTGTTCAGCATACAGATGGAATAAGTAGGGTGAGGGGACCCAAGGTGGCCCGCTGCTCTTTGGGGAAAAGATGAGGCTGTCTGCTTTGGTAAAGAGTTTTAGCTAGGGGAATCCTCGGAGGCAGTTCTTGGTGGTCCTGTAAGGTTGCTGTGAGCTGGAGTCAGCTCACCAGCAGTGGGTTTAGTGACTTGGCCAGCAATGACTTTAAACCAAAGATGATAATATAAGCGAGCTGAGAAACTGGATTAGTGGAAACAGTGCCACCATAGCAGATGAAACTGCTGTGTAAATTTTTTTTTCTTTTTATTTTTTACATTTTATTAGGGCCTCATACAACTGTTATCCCAATCCATACACACATCAATTGTGTACATCGCATTTGTACATTGTTTTTGTTTTTTTTTTCTTTTTTTTTTAACATTTTATTAGGGGCTCATACAACTGTTATCCCAATCCATACACACATCAATTGTGTAAAGCGCATTTGTACATCGTTTATCAAAACATTTTCTCTCCATTTAAACCCCCGACATTAGGTCCTCATTTTTCCCCTCCCTCCCCGCTCCCCCCTCCCGCATGAGCCCTTGATAGTTTATAAATGGGTATTTTGTCATATCTTGCCCTGTCCGACATCTCCCTTCATCCACTTTTTGGTTGTCTGTCCCCCAGGGAGGAGGTCACACACAGTTCCATGTAATCGGTTCCCTCTTCCCTACCCATTCTCCCTTTACCCTCCCTGTTTTGCCACTCACACCACTGGTCCTATAGGGCTCATCCGTCCTGGATTCCCTGTATTTTCAGTTCCTATCTGTACCAGTGTACCTCCTCTGGTCTAGCCAGTCTTGCAAGATAGAATTCGAGTCATGGTAGTGGGAGCGGGGAGGAAACCTTTAGGAACTAGAGGAAGGTTGTATTTCTCATCATTGTTACATCGCACCGTGACTGGCTCATCTCCTCCCCGAGACCCCTCTGCAAGGGGATCTCCAGTGGCCTACTAATGGGCTTTGGCTCTCCACTCCGCACTCCCCCCATCATTCACTATGGTAAGATTTTTTGTTCTGATGATGCCTTACACCTGATCCCTTCGACACCTCGTGGTTGCATAGGCTGGTGTGCTTCTTCCATGTGGGCTTTGCTGCTTCTGAGTTTGATGGCCTCTTGATTACCTTCAAGCCTTTAAGACCCCAGACGCTATACTTTTTGATAGCCGGGCACCATCAGCTTTCTTCACCACATTTGCTTATGCACCCATTTGTCTTCAGTGATCCGAAACTGCTGTGTAAATTGAAAACACCAATCTTATTCAAAGATGCATCCTTTAACAGCAGGAACCCAGAGGCCTCGAAGATAAAGGAATAGAAAAAACACAGCTGTAGCTTATTGATGTCAGCCAGTTGTGGGAAGGGTTTACTGGTGCACATCACTCACTTCTGAGGGGTGTGCCTGGAGTAGCGTGGCTACAGCCCCACTGACTAGCACTTCAGTCAGAAACTGTTTTTCTATCATTGTAATGCTTCAAGAGTGGGGCAGTGTAAAAAATGAGGAAATCTCTTTCTGGGAGCTTTTCCCCTGTCAAAAGTGTACAAGCCGGCTGACTAGGAGGAGCCTTGGGGATACCAGGGCAGCACCTCATTCTCCTGGTGTGCGGTCCATGCAACATCCGAAGCATTCACTCTAGTTTAAAAATATGGGTACACCACAAGTGTTATGTACCCAGAAGGTCAACAAGCAATAGAAAGATAAATAGAGGAGAGAGCAAAAGAAGGCGGATAGGTAAATTGTAAAAAGACTGTCCTAGGTGTGCTGGACCTCTGAGGAACCCTTTGGCCCAGTCTTGGCAAGTGGCGAGAATGTTACCGACTGCCATTGAGTTGATTCCAACTCATGGCAACCCTGTAGGACTGAGCGTAACTGTTCCGTGAAGTCTGCGGGAGCTGAAAGCCTCCTGTTTTCCCCTGTGGCACATCAGTTAGCAGCCCGTAGGTCCCTCACTGCATCACTGGGACTCCTTGGGAGGAGAACAGAGAAGTCCTCTTGAAGGTGGGTCTCAAAGGAAGAGTTGGAGAGAGCCATAGGCAGATGGAGGACAAACTCATTCCAAGTAGAGGGAACATTATAATGACACCAGTTGTTGCTGGTTCCAACTCATGGTGGCCCCATGTGAACAGAGTAGGGTGGCTTCATGGGGTTTCCATGACAGGTTTTTCAGAAATAGATCACCAAGCCTTTCTTCCAAGGCACCTCTGGAAGGACTCAAACTGCCAATCTTCAGGCTAGTAGCTAAACCTATTAGCTATTTAGATGACCCAGGAGCTCGAGTAAAACATGGAAAAGAGATAGATGCTATTAATGGCGTCTAACCTTGAGTTGGAACTTAGAGATGGAGCAGAAAGGTTGAATTGGGCCCCATGGTGGGATCCCTTAGAGGAGCGACAGGACCCAAACCAAACTTGGTGCCATTCAGTCAGTTCTGACTCGTGGTGACTCATGGAACAGAGGAGAGCTGTTCGCATGGCTTTTGGAGGCTTTATATAAGCAGACAGCCTCATTCTGCTGCTGTGCAGTGATGATGGGTTCACACTGTTGACCTGATAGGTAGTAGGTAAATGGCCACTAGGCTACTGAGCTACCAGGGCCCTGTGATATGACCAGTGGCTGTAAAACGCCCCGTACTTAATAATAGGAACATGGGGCTAGCTAAGGAGCTGCAACAATGGTCGGGGTCGGGGCTAAGGAGGAAGGAAAGAGAGCGGGTGTAGTGCGAGGAAATAGGAAGTCAAAATTGGTGGGACCTGGCAGCTGAAGGAAGGGCTGCAGTGACTGAAGGAAAGGAAAGGTTGACAAGCCAGAGGCCACACAAATGGAAGACAGGCCACAGCATCCTTGATCCGTCCCTGGGATTTGCCAGTGCACAGTGGAGCCATGCTGAGATGTCCTCTGGCCATCACCCTAGCCTCCAGGTGGCACACGTGGTCCTCGGGAGGTTTGCGGCAGGCACCGGGCTTCTGTCAGATTGGCAAGTAAGCCTAGCAGAAAATGTTTCTTTTCATTAGTAAAATCCTCTTCCATGAGAAAATGCAGTTTCAGAGATAGTACCTCTAAAATTAGTCCACAGACAGGGCAGTGAGGGATCCCAGTCACTATAGTATCATCCCGAGGAGGCTGACTGACCGTGGTGGGCCTTAAGGGTTCCTTCACTGCCTGTGATGAGTGCATTGTGTAGTTTTATCACTGATGTGAGATTAATGTGTTTTATTTGTAGTTACACAAAGAATTCTGCTTAGATTGCTTTTTTTCTTTAATGTAATTGTTAGATCTCTCTGGAGCTAGATCTATACCTCGGTCCTTGGCTTCGCGCGAGAAAGAATTCATGCTGAAGCCTGGTTTGTGATCCAAGTGAGTTTTATGAGAGTTAGAAGAAGTTTCAGGTTTACACTGCACCCATAGGACTCCTCCCAAGCGTACAGCTTGTCTGGAAACTGCTCGGCATCACACAAAAGTGTCCCAAAATTCTCTGCCAAAGTTCTCCGGGCTCCTGCCTTTTCAAGGACTCCACAGGGAGGCGTGGTGGACGACCCCTGATCGACCCCATTGGCTGAGTTGAATTCACCTGGCCTAGGTTGGCCAATTCAGGTTCACGCCCACTCATGCCTACCGGCAGGAAACCTGAGCTTCTGGGCATGTGCAGTGCGCCACTCCTTTGTTCCCGTAGCTTGGCCCTCTGGGCATGTGTTAACAGACATCCCCCAGCCCTACGCTAGCCTACCTAACAGAATGAGTTTTAAAAAAAAAAGATATATGTAGACTATTTCTGTAACAGGCTTGATTTTTCAGAGTTTTGCTTAAATGGCCGTGGCCACCATGTAACTGGGACCATACATGTTGGCCTGCCCCCGCTCTTTGCTCTTGTGATTATTTGGGGCAGAGAACCCTCCTCCAGTTTCCTGTCAAATGAGGGCAAATATAGACCTAGCCGCCTCTCCACCCAGGTAAAGCAGCTCTGCTCTTGTTACCTGCTGTCAAGTAGAGCCCTAGTCATGGTGACACTGTGTACTGCGGACGGTTTGCAAGGCTGTTATCTTCCAGAGGCAGATTGCCAGGCCTTTCTTCCTTGGTACCACTGGAGCCACCTAGGGACTACTAACGTGGCTGATCAAAACCAAACCACTGCCCTCGAGGCGACTCTGATTCACAGTAACGCTGTAGAACTACTCCGTAGTTTTCAAGACTTTGCCTGTAAATCTTTACCAGAGCACACCGTCTCCGCTTTCTTCTGCCAAGCAGCTGCGGCCTTCAAAGCACCAACTGGTTTATTGGCAGCTGAGCGCCTTAATCACTGAAGCACCAGGCTGATAGAGAAAACGGGCTGATCTGACTGGAAAGATAACTACCTGGTTCAGTGGCCTCAAAAAGGGAGTTTAGTTGAGCAAGACTGTGGGGGAAGAGTCAGCCCCCCACAACTAATCACGGGTTCTATAGGCGCAATTGTACGGTTGAGATACATAAAGATTATAATAAAGTCATCGAGAGCATGAGATAGAGAGAGTCAAATAAATGCTAACCTCAGCCTGGCTTGGTGGTCCACGTGGTGGGAAGGGGAGGGGAAGGAGGACAAGGGGAAAGGGAACAGGGGAGCGAGGATGGGAGAGGAGAGGGCGAACCAATGAGAGGCCAAGAGGGGAGCCCGAGAGCGAGAGCAGGAGAGCCCAACTTTAATGCTAACCAAGAGTTATAACTACTTAGGGGGGCCGTGATGACAGGTAACCACACGTCACAGGAAGGGGCAGTACAATAGGCACACACATCACAGGTAGGGGATGTACGATAGGCATAAGCGTGACAGGAAGGGGATGAGCTGGGGTGTGCCCATAGGAATGGGAGGGACTAGAGGTATACATGTGACAAGGTGGGCGGACCCTAGGTTCATAATGGCGGCCTAACCTTGGTCACCCTTGGGTGGGCTTGACCTCTCTGGGGTCCCTTACAAGGAAACAGTCAACTACTATTCTTATCAGAAGGGAGTGGGTCCTACTTGTTGTGGGGTAAACAGGGGTGACTGCTTGCTCTAGATGGCTGATAACCCTAAGGAGAATAACCCCTGACCTACTTCTATGGCCTCCAAGTGTAAGTCATTCGCCAAGTGTAGCAAGCAGCTAAGTTTGGCATCTATTTGGGGAGGCAACTTGGGAGAAATCTTTGTTTCCCTCACAAGACCTTTATTTTATTTTTTCCTCCCACTCTTGGGTTTTAAAAATAGATTTCACCAAACTGACATTTTTTTTTAGGAGTCCTGTTGGTGTAGTCTGTTACACCTAGTCCTGTTAACTACAAGGTCAGCAGTTCAAACCTACCAGCCACTCCTCAGGAGTAACATGGGGCTTTCTACTCCCATAAAGAGTTACAGTCTTGGAAACTCACCGGGCAGCCCTACCCTGTTCTATAGGATCCTGTTCTATAGGATCACTGTGAGTCAGAATTGACTTGATGGCAGTGAGTTTTCTTTTTTGTTTTACATTTACATGCATTTTACCATTGTTTAAATAACAACAGTAAAAGCTTACAAAACTACTGTTAGTATGTATCTGAAGACATTAGACCCCTAAGACTTGAGAAAGCTTTTGAGCTTCAGTGATTCCCACTGAATCTGTAGTGCGAGCTAACAAGCAACTTAAACAGCTTCAGATTAGTTCTTGCAATGTCAAGACCATGTCAATCAAATGATTGCTTTCTCTTTCTCCGTGATAGCATGCTGCTGTGGACAGAGCAAACAGAAATGTCCATTTCAGGCAGTCTGTGTGTGTGTGTGTGTGTGTGTGTGTGTGTGTGTGTGTGTGT